AAATGTCTTCAGGAGAAGGCCTGGCCAAAACAACAAACAAAACAGCAGCTAACTTACAGGAGGAGTACTAAATAATCTGTCCAGGTAAAAGAAAAGAAATCAACAACAGAAACTTTCCTCAACTCCCTCGCTAACCAAAAACAGGGATGAACAGCGAGTACAAAACAAAAATGGCACCCTCTTCCTACAGCTTCCGATTTAACAAAGCAAATGAACCACAATTACAATACCTTTTTAATACCTTGAAGAACGAAGTTACAGTAGTCACACTACCTGCACAGTAGAATGAATCTCTTCCCAAATCGTCCCTCCCTAACATTTTTGTCTCGTTTTTATTTGTTGACAAAAATGTCAGTATATTTTCGTCATAGTTTTTGTCATTCAAAAAGAGTTTTAGTTCGTTGTCGTCAGTGAAAAAAATGTAATTGACGAACATTATGAAGAAAATTATTCGTCAACGAAATTAACACTGGTACAAAATTACTTTTTTCTGTCCATAGAGGCATATAAACCATTAGACTTTCAAATTTTTGAAACTTTTCAACAAGGCTTTGTCAAGTCAGTAAGCCTTGCATTGCATTTCTTTTCTAGAAAAAAAAATTACTTGAATTTCAAATCATTTAATTCTATTTTATTACATTCAAATTCTCAGTTCAGAATGGCGCACAACCCTGAATATTAAAATTAAAATGTCATCTGGACGAGAGGTATACATCTATTTAGTACATCTGTCATAGGACAATCTGTCTTCTCTGTCAATCTTACAGAGACCCAGTGATGTATGAAAGTTTGCTCAGGTTCTGTGAGGAAGCCTGGTTTGCCTGCTGGAAGATGTCCTTATTATCCCTGGTCATAGAAAGAGAATAATTCAATCTTTGTGTACGTCAATATGGACTCCAAGAGCTGGGACAGCTAAGCTGTATTGAACTGAATGCGAAGCTCTCAACCAATATAATGCAACATTCATGAAATCAATTAATCACTCCATCTAACAGCTCAAAACCGACAATGGCCAGCCAAGACAGCCCTACAAAATGTACTGTGGCTCCTTTGGCTGCATGTTTGAACTCTCATTCTGACGGCACCCATTCACTGCAGAGGATTCATTCAAGTGATGTAATGCTGAATTTCTCCAAATCTGTTCCAATTAAGAAAAAAAATCAATCTGTATCTTGGATGGCCTAAGGGTGAATAATGTTCAGCATATGTTCATGTTTGAGTAACTGATCATTATGGATTATCTGAAAACAAGTCTTATATTGCATGCAATTCTGCTTCTAAGGTGTGTTTTTTTATTGCCTACAAAAATACAGGTGCATCTCAATAAATTAGAATGTCGTGGAAAAGTTCATTTATTTCAGTAATTCTACTCAAATTGTGAAACTCGTGTATTAAATAAATTCAATGCACACAGACTGAAGTAGTTTAAGTCTTTGGTTCTTTTAATTGTGATGATTTTGGCTCACATTTAACAAAAACCCACCAATTCACTATCTCAACAAATTAGAATACTTCATAAGACCAATAAAAAAAAACATTTTTAGTGAATTGTTGACCTTCTGGAAAGAGTTTCACAATTTGAGTTGAATTACTGAAATAAATGAACTTTTCCACGACATTCTAATTTATTGAGATGCAACTGTATATTAACTTAACTGAAGATATATTTTCTGAAAATAAGTCCAATTTAAGCTATTTTTCTTTTGCAATTTTTCTGTTTAGATATATCTGCTGACCAAAATGCTAAGTAAGGAATATATATATATATATATATATATATACACATATACATATATATATAAAAAAAAAAATTTGTGTAGTGTAAGTCATTAATTTTCTTTGAGCTGCAGATGATTATGTGAAGCTTAGGTTTTGTGATATTTTTCAAGATGAAATGTGTAGGTATCTTTTACGTAAGTAAAAAAGAAGTGTGCTTAATTGTAGTCTCCAAATCTTAAAAGTATATAAAAAAATCTGTTCTTGCAGATAATAAAAACATAAAAGAACACGTATGTGTACTTAGAGTATACTTTCACAATCGTTTCTTGACACAATTAAGTAAAAATGTGCATTTTGTAATAATGTCAAATTAAAAGTTTTACTTCCACAATAAAAAATAAATAAAAATTGAAGTTCAATGGCTACCAGCCAACATCCTGTTTGGTTACCAACATTCTTCAAAATATCTTCTTTTGTGTTCAACAGGGGGAAAAAAATAGAAACAGATTTGGAAGAACTTGATGGTGAGTAAATTATGTCAGAATTTTCTGGAAGATAAGGTCAATATAATTTAAATATATTAAATGCAATATAATAATAAATTTATTTATAAATTGGGAAATTACGTGTACATAATACTAAAATTAAATTAACATTTGTTTCACACAATATTAACACAGAATAATTCAGAAAAGTTTTTTTTTCTCAATGTAGACAATTTGATAATGAATGCAATAATCACAAAATAGCTGAAATACAGGATAATTTGCCATCCCAACCTCTCGTTATATCATTTTTTTTATTATTAATGTTAAATATAACAGGAGATTCATCAGTCTGTCAAATTAATGCACTTACTGCAGCACCAAATTGGTGGAAATTAAAGTAATCATGAGCAAAAAGGCCAGCAGACAAACCCGCTACATGCAACAATAGTCCAGAACATGAGGTGCATGATGTTGGAGAAACAGAGTAATTCATCACGTTTCTTAGGTTTAAGCTTTCTGGGGTAAATATTTCTCAGTTTGCAGCTGATTAGTATTCCATCACTAGTCACTTTAATCCAATGAGCAGAGCAGCTAATTAAGTAGACGGAAGGGTTCGACTGAAGACAGAATGCTGAGAAGCCAAACAGCGGTAATTATTAAGACTATAAGCCTCACACTGAGAACTAGCTAGTCCAACACAAGAGAGCAATAAAAGGAAATGCATGAGTTTGGTGCTGCTTTTTTCCAGTCTCTCAGGAAGTAGTTACGCCAATGCTTCACATTAATGGCACTCGCTACTTAGAGCTTGTGAGACAAACATTACACAATCGACAAACATGTTAAAGGGATAGTTCACCCAAAAATGAAAATTTGATGTTTATCGGCTTACCCCCAGGGCATCCAAGATGTAGGTGACTTTGTTTCTTCAGTAGAACACAAACGAAGATTTTTAACTCAAACCGTTGCACTCTGTCAGTCATATAATGGAGGTGAATGGGAATCACGGCTTTGAGAGTCAAAAAAACATACACAAACAAAACCAAATTAAACCCTGCGGCTCGTGACGATACATTGATGTGTAAAGACACAAAACGATCGGTCTGTGCAAGAAACTGAACAGTATTTATATCGTTTTTTTACCTCTGATTCACGCAATATCTGAACTGTCCTGAGCGCGTCCTGAGAACGTCCTCGACAGCCGGCGCGTGGGGTAGCAGATAAACATCAAATTTTCATTTTTGGGTGAACTATCCCTTTAAGCGCTTTGTGCTGTGTGTAAACCTACCGTTATCGCTGTTGTCATCTACCAGTATGATCTCTTTGAGTAGGTGGCGTGGGGTTCTGTTCATTGCCGAATGTATGGAGCGCAGAATGACTGAGAGTGCCTCGTTCACAAAGATGAAGACTATACTAACCTGCGGAAGGTTGGACGGGTAAGACATGTTTTTGCACCTGCAGGGACAGATGAAACAAAGGAGCACAAATGTTAATGTGTGGAGGCATTACCAAGAATAGGGTACAAATTGATGTCCTTTTAGTTTCTAAAACACAAATCCCGTGTACGATTTGTTAAAGCATTACTAAAATGAATCAAGTATGCAAAGTAGCTAGTTTTAACCACATCAGCTTACAATGAGGTCGTGACTTTCTTGAATGTATCCAACAACTAAAATAAATTATAATCAGAATTTTGAGATTATGTTGGTTTCAAATTCAATAAAATAATCTAATTTCATCGTAAATGCTTAACCATTCAAAACTGTTAACCTGAGAACTGTTTTTATTTTATTTTAAATGTATTATTATTATTATTATTATTATTATTATTATTACTCTCTGCTTAATATTTTTTGTGGGAGCTGTAAGATTTAAACAAAATAATAATTGTATTTATCAACATATTAAATTGATCAAAAGTATAAAGACAATAAAAATAAAGACATTTAAAATGTTACAAAAAATATATATTTCAAATAAATTCTGTTCAGTTGAACTCTCATCAAATTCGGAAAAAAAAAACGTAGCACAGTTTAATAATATCGTTATTAATATTAGAGCACTTCAATTCTAAATGATCAGCATATTAAAATGATTTCTGAAAAATAATAATTGTGTGACACTGAAGACTGGAATAATGACTGCTGAAAATTCACAAGAATGATGGAAAATGTAATTTGAAAATAGAAAATTATTTATTTTAAATTGTAATAATATTTCACAATATTACTGTTTTTATGTATTTTTGATCAAATAAATGCAGTCCTGAAGAGCATAAGATAAAAAATAAAAATAAATAAATAAATAATAATAAAAAACTTTTGACCGGTACTTACATTTTATAAATGCTGTCTATTTAATTTGTGTTTATTGAATAATTGTTGCTCATAACAAGATCCAGAGTTTTAGGCTTTATTTAGACCCAAAATTGTCCTAAATTTTAGTAACAGAGTTGCAAAACTGCAAACCTCATCCAAAATTTATAGTAAATCAAACAGCTCATATAATATTTAGTTTGACCTCCTGAGGTTTACAATCAGCATTTTCAGAAGGTTAGCCAACTTCTTTGCTGACCATTTATTAAAACATGACTTCATCTTCAGTTTCAGGCCCTTTTCTGTTTCCTTTACGTGGAAATCACCGAGAAATCTAACAAAAGACAAAATGGCAATTAGACAAACAGGACCTTTTTGGTAAATATGGTGGTCTTTACAATTGACAGGTAATGTTTTGATGTTCTTGGCAGACTGGAGTTTATAACAAGTGGGTTTTGAAGGTTTTCAGACCCAGGTATGCAATAGCAATTTAGCTTCACGGAGAGAAAAGAACAGATGTGATCAGATGAGAAGGAGTTCTTTATGTTGCTGCCAGCAAGACACATCCAGTAATTACAGGCTATGGAATAATTATGTTTTTCCACACACACCTCTTTCAAAGCCTGTCAAAATAGAGTCGGATTGAGTAAACCGTATGTTGCCATGCTTTCAACCCATAACAGACCTTTTTCATTTACAGTTCACTTACTGAAACGGTACCGGGTTCTACATTACACTAATTTTCAGCAGTATTATTGTACATTACTGGTCAAAAAATATGGAATAATTAATTTATTTTTATTTTTTATTTTTTTTGGAAATATGTTTGTTATGCTCACCAACACTTAATTTATCTGATCAAAAATACAGCAAATATGGTAATATTGTGAAATATTTTTTACAAATTAAAATAACTGTTTTCTATTTGAATATATTTTAAAATGTAATTTATTCCAGTGATGACAAAGATGAATTTTCAGCATCATTACTCCAGTTTTCAGTGTCACATGATCCTTCAGAAATCTTCAGGTGCGTTCCATTCGACTGTAAGTGGACATTAAGCAGCATTGATAATAATAATAATAAGAAGAAGAAAGAAGAAGAAGAAGAAGAAGAAATGTTTCTTGAGCACCAAATCAGCAATAAATTACACTTTAAATATATTAAAATAGAACATGTTAAATTGTAATACTATTTCACAGTATGTTTTTTATCCATATCCATACAAAAATCCATATTTTTACTGTATTTTTCAACATAAATGTAGCATTGGTAAGCATAAGAAATGCCTTTCAACATGTAAAAAATGTAGTGTACCTTGGGGTACATTATAAATACCATGGTACATGAATATGGTAATCATTATATAGTATATATAATTATATCAGTACATATCAGTGGTGTGTGGTGGACCCGAGGAGGCAAAAAGAAGGCAATAATTTTCTCATCCGAATTTGTTTTTGAGAACACTGCTCTTGTTTGCCTCCTCTAAAAAAAACGACATGGGTATATATCAAAATATTATTACATCACCATCATATTTCAGTGAGAAATGAACACAGGGCATCTGCTGACTGCAAACATTGATTTGTGCTCAACCATCACATTAGTTCACGCAGGCATTCGCTGTGACAGTGAGTAAAGGACAGACAGACAGGCAGTCTTAAGGCTGGACTGCCAGACACTTACCCTTCAGGTCTGTAGTCTGGGATGGGTCTGTCCATGGAGAGGCGGTCGCTGAGGTAACCGTTGTAGCCGTAATACTGAAACATCTTGAGGGCCACTCTGCGGCTCTCTGGCCCCAGATCCTGGCCCCAGTGGTTGAACAAGGACGAGTCGGAAAAAGATCGATCTAGCTGATTGTCATCTCCTTTCAGCGGGGACTCTATGAGGGTCAAACAGAGAGATGTTGGCATTCCCCTGACGATGAAACGTGTCAGAGAACAGAGGCTACAAAAGGAAACTGACACTGAATGCGTTTACATGCACGATCTTACATCGATTGAACTTAATGACGCGACAACTCTTGTGAAAAAGAATTGTGCTTAATTTTATTGAAATATTAAATTTTTTTACAAAACTGTACTGATCATACCATTAAAGATAACTTAAAAACATTATACTCCATGACACTTTCTAATAATGTCAATTTAAAAGTCTTCCTTAAAAGTACATTTTAAATCATGTTTTAATAATCTTCTGGAGTGCTTTAAAGAATTACATTTATTTTGATGTGTCAACTAACATACAGTAGAAAAGCACATGAAGTATTTGATTTTAATATATTTTTATCTTTAGCCATATTGAATATTGAATCTTTTGTTATTCAATATTACATTTAAAGTAAATATAATGCACTAAAATTGCAACTTCATCATTAAATATATAACTTAAATACATGGCATACAAGTTTCAAAGGTTGTCAGTCCATTCAACTGTACATTTGAACCATTTCAAAGACAAACGAATTATGAAATTTCATATAACAAGGACTTTATATGTCCTATTTTTGTAAAAAAAAAAACTCAAATTCAACTAATTACATTTAATATAAATTGAAATGTAAATTTATTTTCATTTAAAGGCCAATAACATGAAATTAATTGTCCAAAAATATGGATTAATTTTCTATTTAAATATATTATTTCAGTATTATTTATTTTTAAAAGTATGCTAAAAGTCATAAACAGTTAAAGCAAAATCCAATCAACACATATATTTGCCCGTTACTGTGTTTTCCCTTTATGTAAACACAAATGCTGGAGGATTTTTGTTCATTCTAACATCTTTTTAAACAGGATAGCAAAATAACAACAACAACAACAAAATAACAGCGCATATGCTGGTTTTGTTGTTTTCGTTGTGTATGTATGTGTGTGTGTGTGTGTGTGTGTGTGTGTGTGTGTGTGTGTAAGCATGTTTTCTCTCCCCGACGGTGGCTGGTTTGTGGCTTCAGTGGCATAACTTTCACACCTCTCTCATTCTATCATTGTCCATTCCTCTAGCTTCTATTTGACAATGAAACATATAATTTTTTTAAATTCAGCCAAGCTTGTTTCTTGTGTGACTTTTTGCCCTTTACACTCCTTATACTAGAGAATGACATTGTTAGCGGTCATTTCAAGGCAAAGTTGTGATATTTTTTAAAAACTCTTTAAAAAATACATTTAGTGTGGTGACAAGTGCAATCTTGTATATTTTATGTTCTCCCCATTCTAAATAAAATAAAATAAACAATTTAAAACCATCTGTTTTTTTAAACTTCACTGACACATCTAGTAGGTAATATTTGTGACAATCTAATGAAGAAGTAACCGTCCCTAGAGATATAAGATAAAGAGAAAAATTAAGCTTTAACTCAAAGACTGCTGCTGTGGGATGATAATTTGCAAATCTGAAAAAGAGAGAAAAAAAATCTACATGGAAATGAAAACAAAAGCTCAGGAGAACATCGTACTGAGAGAAAACAATGTTCCATGCAAACAATATCCTTTCATAACACTCCCATTGTGTATCATGCTTCAATGTCACTATGATTGACCTTTGTGCTTGACTGTTGCTTATGACCTTTCCACATTTAGCAGCGTCAGCCAGACACTAACATGCAGTTTGTAGCTATAAAATAGAAAGCAGAGCTACACTAATACATATTTTATGAATAGCTACTATATTAAAAAAAAACTATTTCAGTTCAAGCTCAAGTTGCTTCCAACACAAGACATTAGCAGTAAAATACTTCTAACTCAGACTAAACATGCTCCAAGTATTGTTCATGGTTAGTTCATGCTTGTAGGGCAGTCGTGGCCTAATGGTTAGAGAGTCGGACTTGTAACCCGAAGGTACCACGACTGAGGTGAGGCCCTTGAGCAAGGCACCGAACCCCCAACTGCTCCCCGGACGCCACAGCAATATGGCTGCCCACTGCTCCTGGTGTGTGTTCACTGTGTGTGTGTGTGTGTGTGT